CTTCTAACATCTTGAAACTTCCACAACAAACAGAGTAATGCTGATATTCATTCAAGTGTTAATTTTGATAAATGGAAGTCAATTTAAATCTATGGTCTCCAACAATCACCAAAAGAAAAACATTGGTCTCTTTAATGACTAATTTGATTCAAAATGAGCTTTAAGAAAACAAGTCTGCCAATACTGGGTTCACTGTTTCCACTGCCTCCTTCTAGAGTGGATACAAGATTTGATCCATGCTAGTGGATCAAAGTGTTACACATAAGTGACATAGCAAAGGAAAAGCTAACCATAAAAACAGAGAGAGAATCCCAAAGACAAACGTGCAAATGCAATGACAAAATAATTTTTCAATATTTCCAATTTTGCCTTAACTTTACCGTATGCAGATCTTTTAAAATTAGGTCTGAAAAATGTAGTCATTGAATATTTTCTGATGCATAAACTGCAAATAAACAATGCGCTATTTTTTGCAGACACTTGTGCAGCAAACATCCGAGCTATCAGGTGAAACTCCCACTTAGCATAGCCATTCACTGGCCATTCAGCCAGTTGAATTGGGCTTTTCTGTCTTTAGCCTGTGGCAATAATGTTGCATGGATTGTGTTTGATTGACAGTTTCTTGTAAACCTAATGGATTTAATCAGAAGTTTAATCATTTATGAATGTGCAACATGTGCCTGTTTTTGTTATTGTGTCATTACTAAAGCACATCTACATTACTTTTGATTTACAAATCTTTCCCAATACATCTAAACCCTTTTTCTTTAAATCATAAATACTGGTGAACAACGCAAAATCAATGCTGACAGTTTTCAATCGTACACCAACCACTAACTGATTTTATTGTCCATAAAGTTTCCACTCTCCAGTTGTCATGAAACATTCAAGCAGCTAACAGAAGAACAAACAACACAGCTGATGTAGCACAACTTGCTTTTGCCTTTCCCGGACTATAAATATTTATTACCATGAAGGCCTGGTATCATCTGACACTGCACACTGTAATTTCAGTAATGCTGAAACGAATTGTTTTCCACTGACCTGAATAAACATACACTCTAAGGGACTTTTCCAAATTTTCCATCCGTCTTGCACTAAGTGTTTTCTTGGAAGTCGGAATGAGGACTAGTCATAACCTCCACCATTCACAGCTCCCCATGGTGGTGGTGGAGGTGGTGGTCTTGGGGGGTGCGGGGGGGTCAAGGTCCATTACAATGGGCAGACATCAGCTTGTCTATTGTCTCTCTTAATCCCTAATTGCACGACCATCAGCGATGTTGATTCTTTACATGCATTACAAGCGTCATTAGCAGAGTCATTAACACAGGGAAAACATGTTGAGGACCATAGAGAGACAGTTATCTGTCACTGCTTTGGGTAAATAGTCAGGGTGATATCTTACTGTAAGTACAGATGTATAACAATAGCGTTTTTGTAAAAGAATGATAAGGGGGAGGGAGTGGGTGTAGTTTAAACTGTAATCCCTATGATGCAAAATCCAGTGCTGTAAATCTTATTAGGAAAGATGAATATGTGTATGTGTGACTCACTTTAAAAGTTCTGTTTATGAGTTACAGAACAGAAAAATTGATGATGCAATGATGAGACTGCAAGCTCTAAAACTTTTCCTACCAAAAACACATTGAAAAGATGTGTTTTTCACTGTGCCAGACACGTACCTAATATTCAGATTTGGCTAAAAAGTAAAAAAAAAGAAACAAGAAAATATATTACATTAATATGATATAGTATATTTAGTGAAAATGTATCCTTTTACCACAGGTTTTATTTGAAAGGCAAAACGACATCATTACTTCTGCAAACTCATTCAAATCTAGCCCTTTTTTATTATTAACAATTTTCATTTCTGCTTAAAACCAAAACAAACAGAGAAACAAATCAGCTTAAAGACTAATAATAACCATTACGCTTACCTCAGTTCTGCTCAATATTAATTGTGTCTCTTTGTAAGCTTATTGGTGCAGCCCACCACGAGAATCCTAGTTTCTCATGTAGTCCTTGGAGGAAATGAATTGCCCCTCCTCTAAGTATCACCCTTCTCATGTTTTTATCGGCAACAAGTTGGTATATCTTTTCACCCAAGTCTACACAATCACCGTGGTGACAAAAATAATGGATGCAAGAAGTTGTACCCCTGCTTCCCTTGACATGATTTTAATGTTCCAAAATATACTTGCCCCTTCTTTACCATCTGACCCAGCACCTTCATCCTAAGAGGCAAGACTGCTTCCCAGTTCCCCTGCCTCTGTGGGAATAATAGGTTTTCATTATCCAGAGGTCCATATAAATATCCTTACCATGAAACACATATCGAGACGTAACCCCATGAGAAACAGAATTTAAGGTCAAATGCTGTTTAACATAAATGCATACATGGAATGGACATTGTGTAGCTTTGTGGTTGCAATCAAGTCACAGCAAAATAATAAGTGAGTCGGATGTGTTTAAAAAAAACCCACATACATAACACGTTATCATTTTTGAAACAACAGCTAGGCATCACCTTGACATCTACTAAACTTAACCAAATATAACCCAATTTTAGCTTTGATGTAGCCTACAATTTAGAAACATTGTAATATTTTTACCAATAATGAACAGAAAACTGATGAGTACGATAAAACTATCTGTCATTTATTTGAATGGATTGGAATAGATTATATTTTCTTTCTCTCATTAATGCATCCCTTGCATTACCTCTTATAACTCAATAATCCAGTCAAAATGATTAGACTGCTCCAAAGGCTGCATAACCCTGACACAGTACTTATTTACACTTTGCTAATTGCTACTATTGTGCCCACTAACTGTGCCATTAGTCTGTGTTACTCTATTCTGATAAGGATAAGGAGCTAAGACAGTCCCAGACTGCAATATCTGTGTATCTGATCTGGGCTGTCTGCCACTTAGAAAATGTAAATTAGTGACAATTATTCAGGCACCTCAGTCTGAGTAAGAAATACCTGGTAATGTTAGATAAAGCTCTCCATACAAGGTGCATTAATTACAATTATAGACAAGACAAGATGTTGTCTTAGTTGGAGAGACATTAAGTGGTGGGTTTAATAGTGGCCTGGAGGCTCGTGAGTGAGACAGAGGGTCTGTGTGGGCTTATCGAGGTGTAAGCTATGACTACATTCATCCAAGCAAAACAAAGAACCAAATCCAATTTCCAAAAAAAAAAAAAAAAGATCGGATGCTGTGTACATTGCAAATTTTAAAAAGCGTGAAACCTCTATAACGAATGTTAAAAATGTGAAATTGTATGTTTTTGAAAATATATACATGCTTATTTTGTTTTTGATACAAGAAAAATGTTTTACAAAGGTCTGCACAGGGGAAACAAAGACTGAAAAAGTTTTAAAATGCCTATAAAACATCTCGTGGAATCCAAATGGAAATGAAAGAGAATCCCAGAAAGAAGAAGATGACTGTTTCTGAATCTAAAATTACATTTCATCATGGATGGTTCATAATATAATTAAGATTTAAAGGAACTGGAGAAAACTCTGGATGCATGGGACAAAGCCCTCAATCATTACTGAGTAGTCTTTGAAGCTCTCAGTCAGCTCTTCATTAAAAACAGACTGTCTTGGACATCACCGTATGGACTCAAAAACACTTCAGTAAACCATGCTGTAGATGTGGAGTGTCATTTGAAATCATGGACATGTGGCCATTTGAATCAGAAGTCACCATTGCTGATGGTATGGCCTGTATTTATGTACATGGGAAACCTTTACATCTGTGAGGACACTACTGAAGATACTGCTATATTTTTAAGGGAAGGCCTTGCTCATTTCTGCAAGAATGACCACATTTCTGCATGATTGCTGACGCCATAAAGGAGACTCAATATCATCTGAATTTTAATAACTACCTAGAATTATCTATATCTATATGTGTAAAAACCACAACCAGTATAGTCTGTCTCACAAATGTTTATTCCTGGAGTCAGAACAGTACGGAAGGAGCTGAAATTGTCATAACTGGTCATTGTGGGGGAGTTTAAGCTCTTTTGGTCAGTGTGACTACTTTTGTAATGATCTGTTATGTGACTAAATCATATGGGAGACTTTTACCTAGATAAATAAAGCATAACGAAATGATTTCAAACACAAACTTTGTGTATATTAAAAACTTAAAACTAGCCGATTGTTGGACATTTCAGTTATTATCATAACTGTATTTATAGAGAATTGCTTGTCCTGCTTGTCATGTATAAAGATTCCAGGACAAAAATGTGAAAAAAAAATATTATTTTTGTTCCCCTACAGCACCTTGTCTCCCTTCTCCTCCTGATGGTAATTACATTTAATGAGTTCAGGGTTCATCCGCAGGGTGCACTTCTCCAAATTGCTCACAGCGTGGGGTCTGAAGTGGGATAGGGTAGGGGGTATCAGGACAGTCGAGGTCGGGGCCAGGAGTGTTTACCCAGTGTTTGGGGTCAAGACTTGCAGTGGCTCTACTTGTCAGAGAGCAGTGAAACATGTCATTAATTTGTCTGCTTTTGTCCTGCTCGTTTGTTTTTCTGGTAGAGATAATCACGTGAAGGTGGTGCTTGTCTTGGCTCTATTGTGTGAAACTGTTGTCAGTCCATCACCACCCTCAGTGCCCCATCTCTCCTCATTCCCTTTCTCCCCACTCCATGAATGGCCATTTTGCCACTATTTTCTGACTGCAGGGGGTGACCCCAACAATTTAGTTAATCCATTAACAACTAATTGTCTCCTCCTACTCTGTTGTTTGGACAAACAGCCTGGTGGGGGGAGGTCAAGTCCTTCTGACCTATAAAAGTCAAACCAGAAGAGCAGTGAGACACTGTCACTGCATGGATACCTTCAGTACTGACTGTTTACACTTTGACTTGCACTTTTAAGCTCTGGATTTTTGTTTTGAGGTTTCCTGGCTTTTTCTTTGACTCACCTCTTTTTAAGTTAATCATTTTTTATCAATCCTTTTTGTGCATTTTGGAAATGTTTGGAAATCTGTGGTTGGTTTGTTTGTGTCTGTCCTTTTATGGCACAGAAGCACGTATATGGGCCTGGATGCTGAACATGCCCCACAGTCCTCCCAAAGAAGGAGCAAAAGCACTTCGACAGAGCGCTCCTGTTGCCAAACCAGTCACGGTAAGATGCTTGAAAGTGGCCATGATTATTTTGTTTGAATTAACGAAATCATTTGACATCTGTAGAAAAGGTATGAGAGCAACATGGCACTTCTGTCTTAAACTGGGCTTAGAATTTCAGGCAAAGTTTGCAATGATTTCCTTCTTTTCTTCAGGCTGCATGTGACCACGACAGAGCTTGTGGAAGGGGTTTCTCATGTGATCGCCACTTTGGCCTTTGTGTGCCTGTAAGAGGGGAGGGTCATTACTGTCGGAGAGATGCACAATGTGTTCGTGGACTTAGCTGCATGTTCGGGAAGTGCCACCGCAGTATCCCCGATGGACAAGAGGGTAAGGGTGGACCAACAAATGTAACCAAATCTTTTAAATTTCCAAATTTTTCTTCATACGAGACCAGAAGTGACCACTGTTTCCTTAATCCAGGTGCCAGGTGTAAAGTTGACAGAGATTGTGGAGCATCCATGTGTTGTGCCCGGCATCATGGTGAGCAGGTGTGCAAAAGAAGACTGACGTTAGATGAGAGCTGTTATGTGCCTGATGGTGGCCTGGCATTCAGCATCAACCAGATTTGTCCGTGTGATGAGGGTTTACTTTGTCGTGAAAGCAGTGGAAAGCTACAGAAAGAGTAAGTACTACAAACACTGGTTTTCACCATCAGATATTTTACTCAACAAACAAAGGGTTTGCTAAAGTGACTGATATCAATATTTACTCCAAAGCTTTTAGTTTCATTGACAAATCAGTTCTGGGGTCTTTGTTATCTAGATTTTATTGCAAAAAATTAGGCAAATGACAATCACATTTATACCATTTTGTGGGTGTTAATTCAAATTCTTCCTGGACTTCTACACAATTGAATGGACATACTGGGTTTTCTGGACTTTTAGGCCTTAGGCTCAGTTGGTGAAAGGGCAGGTCGAGGACTAACTTCCCAGAAAGCTTTTAAAGCTTTTAAGCCTCTCTGTTTGTACAACTGTAGAAAAGTTTATCTTTTTATGTTACTTTTTAATTTTTATGTTGTATTGTGTATTTTTAAGACTTTTAAAAACTAAGTAGGTTTAGAGTCATTTTTAATTTATACTGGAAATGTACATGTCTTTTGGCATAAAACAGGTTCCACAATACAATTTACAGATGAAATTTAAGCAGTGTTCCAAGATGGAAAAATGAAAAAGCCTTTAGCTAAGACAGTAAAAGAAACAGCTCAGAAAAGTTGGCAAATTTGTATGTTTGCACTATGTACTACGATTGTCTACTAATCTACAACCTTAGTAACAGCAAGCTTTAAAAGCCTTTTTCTTTCATTCAATACGACAATAACTGCAAGCGAGTAATATGTTTCAAACATGGTTCAGTTTATCTAAAATAATTGCTACTTGCAAAGACTAACTTGGGTTTGTTTGTCTTTCAGGAGGGAGTTTATATACCAGCCAGAACGAACAAGCTGGACCTGTCAAGTGCCCAACCTTTGATACATTATCAACAGTAGTTCTATTTTCTGTGTAACTATACTGTATATATTTAAATGTATATATTTCTAAACATGCCGTATTGTTATTTGCTCTTATTAGAGGCTTAAAGAAAAGTTGTTTTTAATATTTCATTTTGTAAATTTTAACAAAAAGCACTACTGTATGTAGCTGGGCTCAACAAAGCTAGTGTCTTATCCAAAATCTCCATCAGGATCATTTGCTGATCTTTCTTTCTCTAAATGTCTGAAATGCTTCAAGTTTTAAGCATAAATTAAAGAAAAGGTTTTCCAAAACTAATGAGTATAATTTGTGTTTCACAAAAAATGTATTACAGTTTCTTCATTTTAAGGCTTCCAAGATCATTCCCAATCACTAATCAAAACATATGGGTAATGAGTAAAGTACAGAAACATTATATACACACACAAATGTAAAACATTTATATAATCCAGATTTTACAGACAAAGAATGTTTTGAAATCAAAATGTGTTTTTTGGAGAATTTTGCCAAATAACATCAAGATAACATCAGAATTATACATTTTAAAAAGTAATGACAGTAAAGTCACTATTATTCTTTAAAATAAAATTATTTTAGATTTTAGGGTTTGTTTGTTTTTTAGATAATTTGTATATATTCATTTAGCATACAATCAATTAAAATGTAGAGACATTTTGAGAAAAGTTAATCTTCTTGGATGTTTTGCTGTTTTCCTTACCACAAAGCTAACCTTATAGTAAATTTCAAAGTACATGTTTATATGGTTAACTGTTTAAAGACTGAATTATGAAATAATTGCCAAAAATTCTTGGCAGTTTTAAAAAAAATAACAACCCTAAATGAAATATTAATTGGAAATATAGGAGTTTAAATTTTTTTATTTTTTAAATTTTTTTTTGCAATTCCTTGATTTAAAAATGTATTGTGCAATTTTGTTTAGATTTGATTATGTAGAATTCTCAGAAAACGTATGTTTCAAATTTGATGAAACTGAAACGATTTTAGGTGCTGTATTCCTTTAAAGCACCAAGTCGACTGTGCAATCTTATGAAAACAGAGTCTGTCTCCCTCTGAGCACGTTTCTTGGACTACAGGAAGGAGTTACATAATATGAAGGAATCTTGCAGCTCCTAATTGTTAGCATCACCAGATGCTGTAATGCTAGCTGTCCCCTGACCCATTCTTAGATCAGTATCTTCCTCGGACTACGTCGGGCATAGTCTGAGGGCCATTCACATGCTAATCGTCCAGTTTGCCCCTTCAATTTCACGGTGACTTGAATTGTTCTGTGAAGGACATTAGTGTCTAACCTCTTTGCTATCGTGTTACAGAGCTTATCATTAAGTCTTTGCAAGGTGCTGTGAATAGAGCCTCATGACAAGAAAGATTGGAAAGTCTTAGGATGTTTTATTAAGGTATAGATGTGTTTTTTCTGACAAACCTTTTGATTTTATGAACAAACAGGATGTAAAAGGCAAAGAAGAATTTATGCCAGAAATAATGCACAGTAACTAATCACAACTAGAGTTATTAAGGCTTCAGGAGAAGCCAGTGTGACTGTTCTAAACCTGCCAGTGAGAACACACGTTTCACACACATAAGAAAGGCAAACGAGACAAAAGCGATATCTAATAGCACAAGACTTTGAGAAACCTTATATTGCCGAATGCTGCAAAACAGTGGCCTATCATCTCCACTTAAGAACAGAAGTTACCATTGTAGGCAGCACGTATCACAGTCAACAATCGCATTTTGGAGGTATCTATACATGTCTGTTTGCACTATTTAGCTTCTTAAACGGTTTTCTATTCCTGAATGCTTTGTCCTCTAGCATGAAAGGAAATAAAACCAGTGTAGAATTTGAAGACATTTTAAGAAGCTGCCTATTTCTCTTTTTACTCCAGATTTCTGTAAATATTCGCCTGATGTATATATACAAAACCGAACTATCTATAACTATAAAAAGTGATTGTTTTTTGTGAAGTTAGTTTTTATTCTATTATTTCATATTTATCTATTTTTATACCCTTTATTTAACCATGAAAAGCTTCAGTGAAATATAAAATCCTTTTTTTACAAGAGTTACCTGCCCATGTAAGAAGCAGTATATTATGTTACCAGGTATGGAGTTAAGGGCATGGCCACCATTATTAACAGAGGTACCAATCATAGATCGTACAAAAGGTGGATGTAGCCACTGTGATGTCACCCATTGGTTTGTGAAGTCCTATTTGCAGGCTCAAGATTCTCCAGGTGTTTTCGGACAACTTTATTTAAAAACAAATTATGCGACAAAGATAACGCTTCCTGCAAAGAACAACCAACCAAGCAAGTGAAATTTGAGCATTTTATAAGTTACTTAGTGCTAATTAGTAGATATGTGTTTCTTGAGTCCTAACATTTTAAGAATGCAGCTTGCTAGTCTAGCTTAGCTAAGATTTACCCTCCCCCCTACAAGTGATAACTTTTGGCTAAAGAAAACCTCAATAAACTCCAAAAAGTAGTGTCTACAACCAGCGGTCTTCAAGCAGTGTATAGTTTTAGCCCTCAAAACCACATGAAGGTCAACCCAAAAATCAAATAACTCAATGACGACTCTACTGGTTATGTAAATCATGTTGTTTTGGTCAGATGGGCTTAATTTGATAAAACTTGCATCGTTTTGGCTAACATTAGCTCTATTGCTAACACGGATCTATGTGCATGATATTAATATTAGTTTTGCAACAATAGCAACACTGATCGCACATAAAGAGATCACACATAGAGAGACTCACTTTAAATTTTGTACTAGTCAAAAAAATAATAGTTTTAATTGTATAAATTTAAGAATTCTCTGTTAGCTGTCTTGAACACACTCTACGACCCTGAGAGCTAATCCTTTGAGAGACTTTGGTCATTTGAAAGTCAATGTCTGAGCAGTACAGAGAGCTTTTGTGAGAAGCTGACAATAGAGCTCTTAAACCCATCCTGCCAAGGGAAAAAGTGGAGATAGGAGAATGGGTGAAAGTCGATTAGCCTTACCTGTGATAGTATAAAATCCCTCCCTAAGTTATCAAGAGTTGTTAGCTCTTGAGTCACCACTCCAGGTAAACTGCTAAAGAGCCATGAGGAACCTCTGACCTCAAGGTGGTTGAAGACATTACTTCTGTCAGGTAAGTGTCATATGTGTTATATTTTCTCAGACTTACTTTACACATTATCCTGTTATTGATAATTCTTGAATTTCTCTGCAGCACCACACTATGGCTTTTGTCAGTGCACTGTTAATGCTGCTGCCTGTTGCATGGGCATGCATTCCCCAAAAAGCAGGTAAAAACACTTTGACACAAAGATGAGTATGTATTTAACATGCTTGTGCCTCATGACCTGTATAGCATTTATATGTCGATTTTTTGGTCATTGCTTTTTAATGCAAAAATCCCCATGCATCCTAAAACTATGACTTATATGAGTTATTTTCATACATATATGAAAATCATCGCTAAATGTGAATAAAACTCAAGAGGAAAAACAAAGAAGGAATTGATAACCACTACTGTCACAGTATGATTAAATAAACTGTAAGGTACAGTGTATAATATTCCCTTTTTTATTTTCATTTTTACTTCAGATTACGTTATGGTGTCATGTTTCCCTAATGCCATAATTGCCAACGTCCCAGAGTGTCCTTACGGCTGGGAGATTGAACACTTGTCTCTCGGTGGAGTCTGTTACAATGGAATGCACAGCCCAGGTTACTACCGCTTCACCATCCCAGATCTCACACCCAAAAATCACTCATACTGTGGGACTCAGTCTGAGGTGAGAAACCAAGTAGGCCATAATAACCAGTACTTTGCCGCCATGCTTAGATATTAATTTTGTCAGTTTTTCTTAAGACAATACCTGAGATTATTGTTGCCTCTTTACCTTACAATACAAAGCTCCTTGAGGCAGCTGTTGTTGTGGTTTGGCACCATATAAATAAAACTGAATTGAAAGGTGAAATACTGACTTTTTATTTTGCAGACATAGAACAGGGACTGGAAATGTAATGAAGGCATTGCATTGCAGTGCATTGCATTGAGAATAACAGACAATCAACAAAATACAGGGTCACTAAAATGCAATCATGCTGAGGTTATCCCAAGGTCTTGGCATATAAAATTAAAATGATCTATGTAGGTATAAAAACTACTGCATCATTTTTTGTATTTTGGTCTTACTGTCCCTTGAGGATAGTACTATTTAAATACGGAGAAGTCTCTCTCAGTTTATTTAAAAGTATTAATAACATTATTTTATACTTTTCATGCCACAGTACATTTCCGGCAAAGACCCCAAATACATCTTCTACAACTCCATTGTGTCCAACGATACTTCACTGACAGTCAGAAACCAGCCTGTGAACTACACCTTCAGCTGCACGTACCGAGCAGCCTATCTGGTTAATAATGCGGTCTTTAGCCAAAGGTAAGCACCAGTTCAGGATACGAGATGACCACAGCTGCTGTCTGGATGATATGTGCCTTCTGACCCAATGACTTGCAGCGTTTTTACTAAACCCTCTGCTTTTTCCAGAGTGGCTACAGTTTATGTCAACAATGGGAGTATAGGCACTTTTAGATCACAGTTGTCTATGAATGTGTTCACGGTGAGTAGCTGCTCAAAGATTCGCCCGGTGGAATCGACATGTTTAACGTAATAAATGCTTTTTATCAGTGTGTGTTTTTGTTATAAATACTATATTTAATAAATGAAGGTATTATCGTGTACACACCACGATCACTGAATGCAAACGAGAACTGCAGACATCTTGAAAAACACAAAATGTCCCATATTTCATAGAATTCAAAGTTCCTGTATGCCAAGGACGCTCCCTATGTGATTGATACCTCTGAGATCGGCTCTGAAGTATTCATTGGCATCGAGGCAAAAGGTCTAAGTAACAGGTAGACTTTAGATGTTTGTATGTTTATTTTTGTAATTTTAAAGGTAAGATTCTCCCAGACTTCTAAAGCGCATTTGTCCTTTACATCTCAAAGATTCAAAGTTGTGATAAACAACTGCTGGGCAACTCCTTCACCTTACTCCACAGACAGGAAAAGGTGGAGCCTCATCATTAACAGGTACTAAAACACAAAAGGCTAAATTCAACTTAAGGAACATTTTGTTCCCACTTCTTTATGTTTTATAGGATGTTTAATTGCTGTTTTCCAACAGCTGCTCCTCTGACAACACTGTGACTATTTTTGAGAACGCCAAAGACAGCCGCTCCATGTTCAAGTTCAACTCTTTCCGCTTCCAGCGGCAGGAGAAGGTGTCCACTGTTTGGCTTCACTGTGAGGTCCAGGTCTGTGATGGAGAAATGATCACCTGTCAGCCAGTGAGTGTTTTGTTATTTAATGATACCAAAAACGTTATAGCACTGAAGTCGTTCCCATCTACATGTTGCTGTTTTGCAACTGCTCTTTTTAAATGTCATAGTAGAAAAAGCACAGATGTTACTAATAATATTAACTGTGGCTCTGTTGTTAATTTCCAAAGTTTGACACGCACCAGATACAAAACCTGAAACATCTAACTGGAACTATTACAGTTTTCTCAGAGTTTAGGTCTCTTAGTTGATCTTCTTTAGCTCATCATCTCTGAGAGCTGATTTTCTTCCAGGCTTACCTGATTTCTTCCCTGGCAGCAGATCACTTAATAGATGCATTTACAATCCTGCAGGTTAATCTGGACTGACCAAACCATTTTAGATTAAACTCATTAAACTCACTATCAATGGACTGATGCAGACTGCAAGGCTAGCAGCATTAACCAATACATTTTAAGTCTAGCTTCCACATAGCTGCTAAGTTGCCTTTACTGGCTAGTCCATGTTTTGGCCTTTGACACCATGCAATTATAAACTGAATAACAGATCACTATAACATTGAATTCTGTGTCTTTATAAAGTTAGGTAATTTTTCTGCAATAACATTTACAAATGAGTGATTTTCTTCTATTAACAAAAAGCTAATTTCATATTCTGACTGGTTGTTTTTCAAGTTTTTATACTGGCCTTTAACATCCAGTTGAGTACAGTGTAAAACAAACAAACAAACTAAACAGGAGACTATGGTTGCTTTTTCCTGAAGAGCCCCTGCTCTGTGAGGAGTTTGTCATCAGACGTAGACCCAAATGGGGGGATCCTTACTGCTGAATTTCACATTAAAGGTAGAGTAAACCGTGGCATATTTATGACTGAGATCAATAAAGAGTAACTCATGCAGTCGATTGTATAGTATGAACAGTGCTGTCTTTATTTTAACAGGTAATCAGTCTTCTAATAATGGACACATAACAGGTAAAAAACAATGCGATGATCATTTTGATTGAAATCATAATCGAAACATTTATGCTTTAAATAAATAGAGTAAATAGAGTAAATAGAGTTTAATTGAAATGTTTAAATCTGTGTATTGCTTTGTACACGAGCTGCAAAACCACTCAAGTTTAACATGAACTCATCCTCTCAAGGCTTAAGCTCAGCTAATTGTGTTCAGACTTGGTTCTCATTCACTGAGGTTTGATCTGTTAATTTTTTTCTCCCTCCTTTAACAGGCGTCTCAGTGCTCATCCTGCTTGTGGTCCTGATAAACACATGTTATGATTTCATCAACGGATCAAGAATTTTATAAAACAAAATCATCAGTTTCCATTAACACACAAACACAGAGGGGAGTGCCACCCAGGACTCAGGGAGCGTATGAATACATTCCTCCCCACGCGATCATTATCTCACAATATGATTTTTATTTCGCATGTTTATTGATGCTTTGAACCTTGTGTGATATTTCACTCCTTCCTCCAATAAAGATTCATTACATTTTGAAAGAAAAGGATTTTTTTCCATTTGTTCCAAACCATAAAAAACAAAAAACAATTTCATTCAGTCCTTAAATTAAAACCAGATTTTCGGTCTGACAGCACTACAACAAACAGAGCACATGACGAAACATAATATTACATTTTTTCTATTTCCATGACACAATCTAGAGCAACTATAAAATGTCTTCTTCATTTCATGTTACACTGAAAATAAAAACTCTGATATGGGATTTATTTATTCAGAGGAAAAATGAAAACAGATTTTAAATCTCCTTGTTTGCTTGTCATGTTTTTATGGAGTGTTTTATAATGGGAAGAGGTGTTTTTCTCAGTGATCAATCACAGCTCAATCACAGGTATTTGATTATTATTATAATAAGCATTATCAAACTTCTGATTTACATGATCTAACCAAACTCCACAGTGATTGAGTTTAGTTATCTGTGAAATAGTCACATGACAATAATAGAAAAATACTCAATTACTGATTTATTTATTCTCTCCAGGTCTCAGTGGCCAAACTGTGCACAGCTGAATGACAGATGTTGATACAACAACCAGCTCTGCAGCTGTAAGAACAAATTAGAAATGCTTGATTAGCTTACAAAATATTTTCTTATGAGATAACTTTAGGCACGTCAGAGCTACATGTGCCACAACAAACAGTTTGAATGGAACGCTAAGCATTGTGAAATAATTTACAGCCTTGTGTGCAAAAGTGGATCCACTAAATACTTAAATCACAAAGAATAAAGAATTAGAACTGCAATTAATTGCAATCCAAACTGCAGTCTCTGTTCATAAAAGCTGTTAAAAACTGATATCTTAAAATAAATTTCTGCAGTATTCCCTGCTAATTAATATGCGCCTTTTCTCTTTAGATGTGTACTGGAGGCATCGAGGGTTCAGTTATAGGAGGTACAGTCAGGTTTTTTGGGGCTCTGGTCACTCCTGGTTTCTTCAATGGGAGAAAATACAGTAAAACAATAAAAATACAAGTCATTATACAATACAACATATATACATATAAATAAATATTTGTGACTATACCTCTGTTTTTACTGGTGAAGAACCACGGTCAGTGAAGACAGGATTAAATCCAACTCTGTTCAGCAGCCAGTACGTCTTTTGAGTCCCTTTACCCTGTCACAAAGAGAAAGACATTCTGTTCAACCTAACATCTTTGTTATTTCATTTCGAGGGAAAAAATATTACAGACTGTTCACCTTCATTTGAATTTCTCCTCTTTCTTCCAGTTCAAATGATCCAGCCTGGAAAAGAATGTCTGCCGTGGACTGAGATACATGAATCTTCAAGGCTGTATGTGACATACACATATACTTCTAAAGAGAGATTTTAAGCACATTTACCAAGACAAACTCCTAGGTTTGCATGTGAGTTCAACAGCTCTGCATGTTTAATCATGCAAACATGTTAATATAGACCATCACATCAAGCTAATTTTTAAGGCAAAATACGACTACTGTAGACTGTTAGCCTGCAGATTAGCACAAAATACAGAAGAAGAATGCCATAAATATTTGTAGGTATAAACCAACCAAGAACTGGACTAAATGAAATATTGACCTGATGAAATATTATGAAATATGAAAAATTAAGGGATTGTCAACATAATTAGAATTCATCCTCAAGGCACCATTAGCATCTAGAGAAAATTTCATTTCATTCTCATACACTGTACCCAACATAAACTCGTATGAGTGATGGATATATCTAACAAACCAAGGACACTGCATGCTAGCCACTGGTCTCTCTGTTGCCAATGGGGTCAGCCCTGACTGGTCATGTGAAAGAATGCAGTCTTGTGGAACTTGGACACTGACTTTGCTTTCAGGCCTTCAGACCCAGAGAGTGCATCTATCATTTATAAACAATGCCACAATGATTCATTCAAAAAGTAGCTGAACTAGTTGACTGAAATCTAAAATTGTCAAACTTATAGTGAAGCAAGAAATCAATAGAGTCAGAATAGTTTTGATTTATCTGAAAAATGCACTGTTATTTCTGCCCTATTAAAAAACTAAAGTGACAATAGTCACTTCAAATCATACCACAACTACATAAATCTTATTTTTTTAGGGTTATTCAGAGTTTAAATTTTGAAATTTTAACTGCTTACTCACGTAAGCTGTTGCTTTCCATGCGAGAAGCTGTGTTCACTGTGTCACCAAATAGGCAGTATCGAGGCATGGTGGTCCCTACCACTCCAGCAACCACTGGACCTACAAAATTTTTAAAAGTCAGAATGGATTTTGTTTAAATTACTCAAATGTTCAATGCACAAACTAATTTTCCCACTACAAAGTCGTTCATACTTCTTGTCACTTGTACTTAGGTCTCAGTAATAGAGCTCTAGGAGCTTGTCAGTCACCATATGCTAGCCAAGTGGTGACAAAGGAAAAATGTGTATTCCAGGACCAATTGGCGAGTGTTTGCTGGAAATTGCAGGGTAGTGACTAGTGTGAAATTGGTCCAAAAAGTATATAGTCCTGGACCAAAAGCCCCTGTCCAATAGCTTTGGTCACGATTTCCATGGTTGCCAGTAGTCAGTATGGAAGACACCAACTTAAATATTTGCAAATAACTGAGAAGTGCAACACAAGCCAAAAAGAGAAGTTTTGCCTTCAGCGTAAAAGTTGTGTCTTATAGGTGAAACCAACACATTTTAAAAGATGCAACTTTTACACTGAAGGCAAATAATGTCAATTTCCAGTTTTGCTTTGCACTTTTTGAAGTTGCACTACCTCTTTGTGGTTAGTCTTTGCAAACAATTCAGCATCTTCCAAGCAAACTATGGGTAACCGTGACAATCTGCTAATGACCAAAATAATCAGAAGGAATTTTCTTTGTGCAGCATTCCCTTTGTGACTAATTTTACCCAGCAACAGCCACCAACCTCCAGCAATCACTCACCAACCAGTTGGGGTACTTTTCAAGACCTTCAAATTCTGTAATGCCATGGTCTCCATTGCTACTGTATCTTACCAGAGTGTATCCCAGTGCGAATTGCAAGGCTCTCATTTGGCATGTGACGGATTCTGAACACCTTTATGCCTCTCAAGAAATGTAGCGCCATTGTGGATATCTCCAAAGCATGCAAGTTTCCATTGCTGATAGGTAGACCACTTGCCACCATGTATGCATCACCAATTGTTTCCACCTTGTTATGTAGAGATGTAAATGACACTTTTAAAATAAAATAAAGCTGGAAGAAAATAAAACATAGCACAAACAGAAAAAAAGATCCCTGAAATTTCAAGGAAATTAAAAGTTTCATTAAACAATTGTAAAAAAATTTTTTATTATTTTCTTGTAATAGCAAATACATTTTCTAAAGTTTTAACTTTTAAGATTTTGCTTTTAATCAGATATGATTTCTCTGCATTGCTGGTTAAATTTCTAAATTTTTAAATTGTTTTTTTCTTAATAAGATAATGTAACTGGATGCTGAGTCAGTAAATATGGAAGGGAATGGTAAAGCTATTCTCATGTCTTGGTAAGAAAGTCAATATTTATCAAAATATCTATCGTATGATATATATTTTGCTTTTTATGATCACAGTATGTTCACTGTCACTTACTTTGTAGACATCATACATCTTGATGATGTCATCAAAGAGACTGTAGAGGTCGTTGAGGAATGTTACCACTTCCATCGCAGAGCTGACTGAGCACATGGAAGTGAAGCCGACAATGTCAGAAAAGAAGATGGTGACCAAGTCATAGCTTTGTGGCTCCACTGACTTCCCTGACATCAGCTGTTCAGCAATATATCTAAAATCATTGCAAAAAAAAACCAACACAAGATAAGGTTGACTGAGTATAGCAATACAAAATTATATAGTTCCTTTTTTATCAAGTACCCTGGCAACATGCTGGCGAGGAGCTTGTCTGCACGAGTTTTCTCCACTGTAAGCTGATTGGTCCTCTCCTCCACCACGTCCTCCAGGTGATTTGCATACTTTTCCAACTTGTCCACCATATTATCTAGAATGTTTGCATGGCTACAAGATAGAAATTCATCATTAACTCTTTTGCAATGAGGATTTAGTTAGGTTAAATCTTACTTAGATTTGAGTAAGACTGAAGACAGTTGGAAGTTTTAGCTTGTGAACTTTAACATTTATGGGCATTATGGTAAATTTGTGTCTCACTTAAATAAAAATGTAGAATATGTTTTTACACAAAAACTTTATAAAATAAAAATTTAGGGGTATGATATTACCTGTCTGGACTAATGTCTTTCAGCCGCCTCTGTATAGAACCAAATGGCGGTCGGTAGTCAGGGTTTTCACTCCAGCAGGCTTTTAGCAGTGCATTGATGTTCTCTTCAACCAGCTGTTCAGACAGCACTGGTCGGAGGGGTTCCCCTTGAAAAGGTGTACTCAACTGCATAATAATCTCTGTAAGAACATCTAGCATTAGAATTTAATGGGCTATATCTTTCAACTTTGGTTCAGACTAAAATATAATACTGAAAAAAATACCATAAAAATTTGTACTTCAATCCAATGCTACATTATTTCACATATACTCAGTAATCCACAAAGATACTTAAGAACTTGGTTGAAACCATCACATTTTAAAGTTATTACAAAACTGGGATAGACTGATAATTACCGCGCAAAGAGAAAATGGAAGTAGAAATGCTTCTAATGGTGCCAAATTGCCAGAAGGTAAATAAAGCTGTAGCTAACAAACAGTAACTGATTTTGGGAGTTGACAAAAAAATTGTAGGTTAAGACAGTTAAGAAATCATGCCAACCTTTAGGGTCCAGATTGATGTCCTGATATGGACCAGCTTTGGAGTTGTACATTAGTTCCCACATTATGATGGCAAAGCTGTAGACGTCACCTTTGGGTGTTCCATTGATTGGGGAACCGACCTGTCTGAGAAGCTCAGGGGCGATCCAGTACATCTCTACAACATGTTCTCGTGTGTTACTTCTCCATCA